CGCCGCCACCGCCTGCCCGGAGGATGTTCCCGCTCCGAGAACATCCCTTCCCCGCGAATGTCCCTCCGGAGGACGCCCGCCCCCTTCCCCGCTGAGATTCCTCCCAGGATGCCCCCTCCCCGCGGCGCTTTCTCCCGGGAGGATGCCCCACCCGGGATTTCCCCCCAGGATCCCCCCCACAATATCCCTTCCCCCTGGGAGAATGTCCCCCTTGAAGGATGTCTCCCTGAGGTTGTTCATAGAGAATGTCTTCCCCCAGGAGAATCCCTCCCAGAATATCCCCCGGCCCCTGCAGTATCCACCCCTGGACACCCCCTAGAGAATTTCCCCCAAAGTCCTCCTCTCTGAGAATGGCCCTCCCTGGAAGATGCCCTCCCCAGGATGCCCTCTGGAGTATACCCAGTCTAGAGGGTCCCCCTGCAGGGGATGTCCCTGGAGGATGCTCATCCCAGAGAATCACTCCCCAGAATGCCCCCCAGGACAATATTCCCCAAGAGGAAGCCTCCCCTGGAAGATTCTCTCCCAGGAGGATGCCTACTCCCTGGAAGGATCCCTCCTCCAGAGTATCCCTTTTCCCAGAGAGTGTCCTCCTAGAGGAAGTCCCCCCCAGAGGAATGTCTCTCCTAGAGGAAGTTCCTGGAGGATGTCCCTCCATAAGGATGACCCCCAGGAGGATACTCCCTGAAAGTTTTCCTACCCAGAAGGTGCCCCCAGGATATTCCCTCCAGGTGTAGGCTGGGGCTGTGGTCTCATCAGAGGCTCCTTTGGAAGGCGGTTTGCTTCCACGATCCCCCAGACTAGAGGCAGAAATCATTCTTGGGGGAGTAGGATGGAGAGCCCTGTGTCCCTCCAGTCAGTTCACAACTGGGCAGTTTGCTTCTTGAAGGCCAGAGTCTCCTTCCAGTGTGCTGAGAGGCCTACAATGTACCGTCATGGTGGGCCTGCACTCTGTCCCCGTGACCACATTCTCTCAGTGGGAAGAAAGCACACGTGCTGCCTGCCTTCCAGGGAGGTGCACACAGGGCCAAACACCAGGACGCAGGAATGCCTGGGGGTCACCCTAAGGCCGTTCAACACAGTTGACCCCAGTTAAGCACCCCCTCAGGGGCCTCTCGAAGGGCTCAGTTGGTTAAGCGTCTGCCTTTAGCTCAGGTCATGATCCCAGGGTCCTGGACCTGAGCCCCACATCAGGCTCCCTGCTCAGCGGGAAGCCTCCTTCTCCCTCTCACTCTGCCTCCCCCCCTGCTTGTGCTCTTGCTCTCTCTTTCTCTCTCTGACAAGTAAAGAAATAAAATC